CCACACATTAGATGTTTGCATCCAGGATCTGAAATCTAAACTGCAAGAAAGAGTTTCACAGGAGCATATTCTGCAAGGGAAGGTATATCAGACATCATTGGAAACCAAACCAATGGCAACGGCAGTGGATTGCAGCATTTTGAAATTAGAAGTTGTGTCCAGTTATAGCAACACTACAGAACATTCAAAAGGTGCATATCAAGAACTGGCTGCTGTCAAATCACAAATGGCTAAGCAAGATTGCGAACTGGGAGAAAGGAGCAAACACATCTTGACTCTTGAACAGGAAATTACACTACAGAAACACATTAGCTGACTATGATTACCTCAAAAAAGTAAACTCTGACCTGCAGGCTGAAGTCACAACCCTTCATGGGGTCAGAGCTGAACTAGAGAAGGTCAGATGCCTTGAGAAAGAGAAAGAAGTGAAAAATACAGCACATCTGTCTAAAGAGGAGGGGTTTAAAGATGGGGAGGTGGGGCCGATGAACCCTGACACTCTTGAATCTAAAAACAGGGAGACCCATAGCAAAATAAACATCACAGTGTCTGAAAAGGAGGCTGAACTGGCACAGAGGGAGAATACCCTAGCGTCAAAGGAGGCTCAGCTCTTAGTGCTGCAGAAGAGGCTGAAGGAAGAGCAGGAGCGTCTGGAGGAGGAGGAGACGCAACCTGTGCAGGAGGCACGCAGGAAGGAGGCGGAGAGGAGGAGAGAGCTGCTGGCTGTGGCAGAGGAGGCCATTGCTCAGAAAGATGCAGAGCTACGGAAGAGACAAGAAGAGATCAACCGGTCAGTTATCTTTCACAATTATAATACAGTTTCCTAAAATTCAAGTCACATTAAACCAGCGTACAAAATCATTTTCAGTTTATTTTTGTGGCATTAGTGTCACACACATTCATAATTTTTTCTAGTTTTCATATTCATTTTATTTATATACACTACTGTTTAAAAGTTTAAATAAATTAATGCTTTTATTCAGTAAGGATCCATTAAACTGATCAAAATTGACAAAATAAGCTTTTATAATTGTTGGGGAAAAAAGAAATGCTGATGCTGTTCTTTTAAACTTTGTTTTCATCAAAGAATCCTGAGAAAAATGTTTCTTTGGTTTTTACAAAAATATTAAGCAGCACAACTGTTTTCAACATTAATCATTAGAAATGTTTCTTGATACACTAAATCAGCAAATCAGATTGATTTCTGAAGGATCATGTGACACTGAAAGCTGGAGTACACTGAGGCTGCTGAAAATTCAACTTTGCATCACAAGAATAACTTAAAATAAATGTTCAAATATATATTAAAATATAAAACGGTTTTAAATTGTAAATTATTTTACAATTTTACTGTACTAGAGACTTCTTTCAAAAACAAAAAAATCTTGCCCAAACTTTAGAACAGTAGTGTAATATATAAAATACAAAAATTATATTATGTATTATGATTTTGTCAGGTGCTGCTGCTAGTGCTAGAAATGAGTCAGTTCACTTGTATATGGACTGTTTGTTTAGCATTGAATTATTGTCTAATGCTGATAACAAACAAAGCTTGATTTGTGTCTTTGGAACAGACTTTAATGGTGTTAAGTATTAGCAGCTTTTCAATAAGCTTTGATGGTTTGTTGTTTTCAGGACAGCATCAAAGAGCTTAAGAAATTTTGTTCCTTATTCCTTTAAATTAAGTCTCTTGCTTTATTTGTCAAAGATATTGCACAGGATTGCTGCTTTTGTTGGATTAATGATTATCCCACACAAATGGACATTGATTTATTTTAGCAGCCTGATAGGATTTTGTTGTCTATTCTTACTGAATAATTACAAAAAGATAAGCATATTTGTAATTGAGATTGTGTGTAGTGTATTCTGTCAGATTAATGGTCTTGTCTTTAAGGCTTTTAGCTAGTGGTTGACCAACATAGATTTTTCATTGGCTCATGCCAATATCTAGAGAGCATGGAGGGTGATATAATGCCAAGATATACTTACCTACAATTTAGTAGTAGCAAATGAAATGTACATTTGCCGAACATTTTACACAACATATTCAAACTTCACTGGAAAAAGTTGAATTTGGAACTGACAAAAGGGAAAGATAATCACTTCTCTTAATCGGCCAAGCAGATAATCTCAAAATTGCTTAAATAATCAGGCATCATGTATCAATACTTTTGCCTCAGATTTCTTTTTTTGGTATTCATTCTTATGTGTATGTGGTTTTTCATCACTCAGGTTAAAGGAGGAGATTAAAACTAGCGAGTGTAAGTTGAACAGTATGGCTGTCGATCTGCGCAGAAGGGAAGATGATTTTTCTGATCTTCGGGAAAAACTCTGTGACTCAAAGAAACAGATTCAACAGGTCCAGAAAGAGGTGAGAACTCACTCTGTTTCGAACCACTTTACTGTCTGGGCCGAACTGTGTTAGTTTGTATTAAATCTGACTGTGCTAAAACTCCTTATGTGGTTTGATTTAGATTTCCTCCATGCGGGATGCTGAGAAATCTCTACGATTGAAGCTCAGTGATCTAGAAAAGACTAAAGCACAGCTCCAGAATGAGATCGCCAACAGGGACCGCGCCATCAACCAGCTGAAAGCTGTAAGCACCGCCTAGCGATGAATAGCTAAAATCACAAAGAGAGAAATGTTTGTTGACACTGTCATGTGAACTAAATATTTTCTCTTTGTTCTAAAACAGGAACGATCTTCTGAACGAAGTCAGATGAGAATCTGCTGCTTTATCAGAAAGCATGTAAAGGTATATCTTGTTTAATTACCTGCATCTGCATGAGTGTGTGCAGTAATGGGCGTCATTTATTTTTAAGTGTTTAATGAAATGTGTGGCAATAAACAGTAATGCATGTTAATGTTTGTTGATGCTCTCTGTAGATTTGCAGGAGCGTGAGCGTGTTATTGAAGACATGCGTTTGGCGCTAACAGAGCAGGAGGAAACACAGACAGAGCTGGACCTGGAGCTGGACAACAGAGAGGCTCAGATAAATGAGCTCACTCAGGGTACAAGAGTTACAAACTCTCTTTCTATTCATGCTACACTACTGGCACTTTTGACCAATTAAAATATTAATTTCTAGTAGGTAGAGACATGTATGATGTTAAAAAAAATGGTCTGTGTCAAATAAATGCTGTTCTTTTGAACTTTCTATTTACCAATGCATCCTTAAAAAAAATGTGTCACGGTTTCCACAAAAATATTAAGCAGGACAACTATTTTCAACATTGATCATGATAAGAAATGTTTCTTGACCATTAAATCAAGATCAGGTAACCAGATTTCAAACCTAATTTAAAACCAGTAGATGCATCTGCCAATCATTACACATAATAAGTAACAAGTATAATGTGTGGGCAATAAGCAAAAAATGTCAGTGTTCTTACAAATTTTAGTTGATGGTGATATTTATCATAATATAATATTTTTATGGAAATATTTTAATGTCATGCACATTGCAATGAAACAACTTAATTATTAAAAATGTACAAATGTTCATATATCTGCTCAGCATGTATTTTTAAACATACAATTACTGTAAAATTACTTGAGATAAAAGCATTCTTAATTCAGATGATATTCAATAATTCTTGAGGTAATTCATTCAGTGGCAGTATAGGTGCATGTAGGAAAGTGTAATAGTGTCGTCATTGTTCAGTGACACTGAATACTTGAGTCTGATTGGTTGACAGACATTCTAAGGGTTAATTTCCTATACTTGTACGACTACAAAGTAGTCCAGATATGTTTACTGCGTTAGTGTCAAATTAGCAGAACTTCAAAAAGCCATATAGCTCTTTTGAAGCCAAGCAAATCTAATAAAAAAAATGACATAAAATTCAGAAGTTATTTTTAGCTGGACTAAAGCTGACTGGGACCTCTATACAGCTGAAAAATATTGTATTATTATGGAGGCCAGCAATGTAGCCTGTGTGACTAGAAGTCATGTGTATGTTTCATGTATACACAGATAAATATTGTCAACAATTGTCTTCTAAAAAATATACATTATTTTTAAACTGTGAAAGTTATTACCACCTGATTGTTTGTCGTGTTGTTCTACTGCTCATTGCTTCATCAATTTCACCCTACATGAAGTGCTGTTTTAACATTTTGTCCCAGTCTCAGGAGGTCACTGAGGACAGCAGGACCGAGGCACTGCAGGCAGAGCTGGTTGCAAAGGAAGCAGAGGTCCAGAAACTAAAGGAACAGCTCTGTGTCAGTGTCATAGACAGCAGCCTTCGCAGAAACTCATCTACCCAGGTCTGACACATGTCTTATTACTGCCATTCTCCCGTTACCTTTGATGATTCATTAGAGTCACTGTCAAAAGACCAAGATCGCAATTTGAAGTGACTTTACTCTGAATGTTCTCAAACAGACTGCATTTTGGCATTTGTACAAAACACACTGCTAAGTGGCCTTGTCCTTCAAACGATCATATTATATATATATATATATATATATATATGTATATACATATTTTTATTTCCCCCACCTCAGATGAGCTGAGTTGATTTCTCAGTATATATTTGTACCAACCTGAGGTGATGTGTGTTGTTTATTAGACATACTGTGTAGATGTTTATTAAATTGAGTTTGTAATTAGATATGGAGTGAGGAATGTTGATTGACTGTCTCTTAATTGCTGTGCTAGACGATGGAAGCAGAATTATCTGATATGAAGCCTCTAAATGCCAGTACACTTAAACACACAAGCAGAACCAGAGGATCTGTCACCAGTCAGGTAAAACAGAAAGGCATCTTGTATATCATTTAAATGTAAAAATGTCAATTACTTTCTGTTGCTTGATTATATTTTGTATTATTTTAGTTTTTCATTTAGTTGGTACCCATTTTGTGCAATAGTAGATGCACTTTTCTTTTTTTTGGCCAAATGTTACACAAATGCATATTAATCTCTCTTAGTTTTGAACAATCCATCTATCAGTAACAATAGATAAACACCACAAGGGAAGGTTGTTATGCTGACACTAATGGTATAATGATTTAATGATTTAGATTAATATTTATAAAGACATTTATATATAAATGCTGTTCTTTTATCCATAAAAGAATCCAGTTAAAAGTATCAGTTTCCACAAAAAAATATTAATTGGCACTACTGTACTGCTGTTCAGCACTGATAATAAAAATAAATCTCTTGAGCACCATATCAGCATATTGGACTACTAATCTGTAGTATTTTATGGCTGCAGTATCTCTCATGTTACTGTCTCATTAGATGAATTTGTTGCTTTTGTTGCATTTTTGATTAAAAGCATCTACTAAATATATGCACATATTTCTTAGTCCATTGATTATGATAATCAACTAAATAATAGTAATGATCTTCATATCACAGAGTTCGTCTGGTAGCTGTCCGCTGGTGCTCGATTCATCAGAGATCTCCACGGAAACAGGCAAACGTTCCAGGTTTCCGCGGCCTGAGTTGGAAATTTCCTTCAGCCCTCTGCAGCCGAATCGTTTCGCTCTTAAGCAGCAAGGTGAAGACTCCGCCATTACTGTTAAAATCTACCGACCCACACGCAAGAGGAAGAGCGGAGAGATGGAGAAGGTGAGAAATGAAATGGATGGAGGGGGTTTAGAAAATGGTTCTCAGTTCACACAAATTAGAACTGAGTGCTGTGACTGGAATGACCTTCAATCATCTTGTGGTTGAAAGATATGTCTAATCTCTTCAGTTTCTAGCCTTAGAATCATGGGAAATAGAGTAGAATGTTAGTTCAGATTTATAGCACAATTCAATCCTCTTCCTGTCCTTTAGTTTATTATTAAAAATTATTATTGATATTCTTCATAAAACCAGCAGACCATCTGCTGCTGACCTAATCTGCACAGCCAGCAGCCCTTTAATTGTCCTAATTAGTCATTAACAAGGCTCCAATTTTCCTCACTTACGCTTAACGATCAGTGTTCATTGTGCATGGGCAGCAAAATTGCAGTCCTATTAAGCATATAGTTCCGTGTGTGAGAATAGATTTATATGTGTGTGTGGTTGAGCGTGCCTTGGCCTAACCTCACACACTCTTCTCCAGGCAACATAAACACTTGCGGACACTTGTTTTGGGAGCAATAACAATAATTATAGAATACACAGTAAGTTTATAGATTTCTAAAACCTGTTTATGGAAATGTAATTGAATTGTTCAGACAAAGGGATTACGAATACACAAGTACAAATCTACCATAAATGCTGACTAAACAGGGTGTTAACATTTTATTATATTACACTTTACAAGGGTAGCTATGCACTTAAGAAGTCTCTAGTCTGGGTAGGTCATGCTATTCTCTCCGAACACCACAGTGAAGATGTTATGTTGCACACTGAAAGAATGCTTTCCATTCCAAATAAGTGCTTTCTTATTGTCAAAGAATCGTGTGCTCTCTCGCCAGTTGTCCCTGGCAACAGTCACGCTTCCACATGCTCTGTAGCTGCTAATTGTTGGAGAGTTTTGTAATTGAATGGCACAAACTATTTTTAATGGTGCTTCTGGTCACTTGAAGAGGAAAGGGGCAGAAGCAGTGTGGTGAAAAAGAAAGCTTTTTCTGAACCCAGTTCTCAGGTACCCTCTTCCTGTTTAATCCTGTCATAGCTCTTCCACCTTCAGGACTTCTAATGGTCTGGAGTCTCAGACACTCAGGGTCATGTTAATTTCCTCAGGTTATCCCACTGAGCTGGATATTGGAAGTATAAATCCATAAATTTTATTTAGTATAAATAAAGTATAAATGGAAGTATAAATCCTTTTTTTTTTTTTGCCCCCTCTATATTTTTTTCTTCACACTAAATCAATTTGGGCAAATCTGTGTGATGGAGGTGTTCTATTAAATAAGTTACTGGCAAAATTTGTCTTTAAAACCAACATGAAACCCAAATGGACTCTCTTTACTTTCTTAAAGGAACAGTTCACTAAAAAAAATAATTCTGTTATTATTAGTTTATCTTTGTGTCGTTCCAAACCTGTGCTGTTATATTTTCAGTGGAACACATAAGGAGAATTCTGAGGAAGCTTCTACTCCATGCAAAAAAAAAAAAGGGAAAAAGGGATAAACACCAGTAACAAATGTCATTTGTTCTTGCACGTTTTTTAGTCAGACATGTTTCAGTTTAGATTCTTCAGCACAAGAGTCCTCAGATTTGTACGCAATGATAGAATTTTCATTGTTGAGTCACCTATTCATTTAATACACATTCCTGGTCTTATTGTGTAGGACTTTACTCCACACCTGACATCACCTAGCCAGTGAGATGTTTTGTTGTTGCTTTTGAAAAAAAAAAAAGGGGGAAAAAAGTATCTTATGCTCAGAAAGTCTGCATTTATATGATAGACAATACAGTGAAACATTTTACTGTTATAGTAAACATTTTACATTTTTTCTGTTTTAATATAGTTTAAATGCAAGTTTTCTTGTGATGGCAAAGCTGAATATTCAGCAGCCAGTCCAGTCTTCAGTGTCACAAGATCCTTCAGTGTATTCTAATATACTGATCTGGTGCTTAAAGTCCCCCTGTAGTCAAATATTTTATCCCTTAAAACTTATCTTTGATCATCAAAATGACATATTTAAATGTTTTTTCTTGTGAAAATAATTTTCTCATGCCTTAAAATAGCTTGAATGTAACTCTACACCCTTGCCTCATTTACTATACGCGGATCTATGAATA